ATCAATGAAAAATCAATGGACCACCACCAATAAGTGTTACCAATAGTAACACATGGAGTTTAAAAGAAATTAAATAAACATCATGTTTTCATTCAAGATAGCTTGATTGTATACATATATATTAATTGGATGATTTTAAGTTTCAACCCGACAAATCCAATTCAGTCATCACTAAAAACCAGGGAGTATTAGATAGTACCATTTCATCTGGGACTCTTCAGCAGTGCTCACCCATGACCTCACCATTAAGGACGAAAAACAGGACCTTTAGGCTACGAGATGGACGCGTTGAACAATGACCCATGAATTCTAACTGCAATTAATGCTATCAGGGAGTAGTTGTCCTAACACTTAACTTTGCTGGTGAAATCCAGGTAACTTCGTTCTATAGTCGGCTACTAATGAGCATCGAATTAATTTCAAAGCGTTAGATTGAAGGAATTTCAGCAATGGGAATTTCCAACAAGTACTGTTTCGTCTTAGTTTGGCATCCTTAAGTATTAAGCACCTATGGTCTTAAGGAGGGAGGGGGTCGAATCCGGGACCTGGGTTTTCTTGCTGATATTAGCTCGTTACCTCACCTGAAATCAATCAAATCTTTGCAAACTAGCACTTGAAAAAATCAATCATCAATACTGAAGAATATTCACTGATTCAGGTTTTGATCATATGCTTAGGTGTTTGGTAACTTGTGAACTATTTTGAATTGTTAACAATCTTATTCTTGCCTAAGAGTAGTAACGTTAACAACTTAAGTATGCATTCATCAGTACATTTTTTTCTCACTGTGGTTGAGTGTTAGTGTTGATATAAACTCGTAAACAAATACCAGTGCTTACGTCAGATAATTAAATATTTCGCAATACAGATTTATTGTTTTAAATCCTTAGATCAATAAATACAGGCTAGCACACTTGAACAATATACACATATCTTACTTATGTTTTGTCAACCTTACCTTTTTCCCCGACATCTCAGGGAGGTTTAAAAGGCATAGAATAATCCATCCAATCAGATCGAAGGTTTATTGTTAGTGTGTGTACCTGGACTCCTACCTGATTGGATATTTTAGTTAATCGATCAAGGTTAACATTAGTAAAAGCTCACCAAATAAGTAGTATACTAACTTAAACGAGAAGTTTAGGTAATATTCATTCTACGCATGAAGCTAAAAATATTTTTTACTTTTCAAGTATCTATTAAGAGAGATCTGATTGATTTCAAGATTCCACACAAGAGGAACACAGCTGGAGGATTGTTGACGACCAGGGAGGATCGGACATTATTATTTCTGCCTAGTTCGGAACTCCTCAGCTGAAGTCAGTTAGTGAATCTCTGAATCGAACGAATCCCTGCTGACATACACTACAGGATGGAGTTGCCTTGATTTCTAGTCGAAAGTCATATCCAGTGGGGTCCACCAAGTTTGATGTAAGGACAAGTTAGAATTCATGGACTAGCCATTGTATTCCATCTCATTAGCTGAGTGATCTTCAAGCTCGCCTTGTAACCTGAGGGTCTTGAGTTTCATCCCTAGTGGTGTTGGTGGTGGTGGGGGTCATGAGTGCGTACTACTGAAGAGCCCCAAAGTAGGACGGAACAGCTACTTCACACTCCCTGGTCTCAAATGGTTCTCAAACTTAAGCCAGTTCTTTATCAATCTTGAAATCTGTTTTAGGTAGTTTTTCTGTTATATATTTAAGTTTTTTTTCAACTTGAAAAACCCAATGAAAATGTAAATAAAAATATGCAAATACACATTTTATTCAAAGGCTTGACAATAATATATTATCTAAGTTAAGTAATTTATTATCATTCACTTATGCTAATGATAGAATTGCAAAGATCACTGAGAAAAAAACAAGTAAATAAGTTTGTGTATAGGTTGTTTTTTTATAAAATTTTTCAAGTGATCTATTACAATTCCGATCGAAAATCGTGATCACATCGTGTTGTTTCCTTTACTGTTTGTACGTGTGTGTTTGTGTTCATAATTGACTTGCCTTTTGTATTAATTACGTAATCAAGCCTCCTCCTCAACCTGCTTATCTTATTGACGTTTGTGTGCGTTAGTGAGATAATTTTTTCTATGTACCTTGATGAGTGAAGACACACATACTCACATCTAGGTTGATTTTGAAACGTTTGCCAAATGAGGCGGAGTAAAGATAGTTCTCGAATGTTGCACATTCAGGCCAATAGTTATCATTATTAACCTTGGGTTAAGAGTGGGACGTATTGTTTCAGTAGCACATCATCATCACCACTTCACTCAAAGTTCGGCGGCGCTTTTTCACTGGTTCCACGACTGTCCACAAACTTTCATTTCCGCCTCACACGATCCGCTCGGCGTCGTAATCCGACCCATGCTAAACTTGTCGTTTCCCATTCAGGTTCCACTGGATGACCTAGTTCGTGATGTTATTGAACGGTTTCCTCATTAATGCATAAAAAAATCATATTACTGATTAATTGGGATGAATAGTTGTATACCATTTCTACATCAATTACTAGTGTTTGCTAGACAGATCGAAGTGTGATCTCAACATCGGATAGCCACTTCACTCGTTTGTGGCTGAGGTCATCAGGGATGTAACGGTTTGGTTCAGCTCAGAGATATCTGATTTCTGGATAGCTAGTTGGGCTACTTGTTATCGAGCAGGTCAAATACGTTTGGTTTTCAAAGGAAACTCTGGTGAAACATTGATTTGTGAATTGGTTCTCCTTTCATATATCCAATCTGCATCTCATTCTCTATATTTTTTTCGGTGACAGATTCTTGGTTATAATTACCAAGAAAATTGTTTAGCAAGCAATGGGAGATTCACGATGAACTAAAACTCGCTTAGAGAAAAAAACAGTCCATTGAAAACATCTCTGTGGGGCTATTGATTATCCCGCGGGTTTGAATCTGACCGCTATCAGCTGTGAAAACCAACGAAACTCCCATCCCCCATCCCCGAAAGAATTTAAACAAACACCATCGAAATCCCACATGTATTTTGTTTTCTTTAGAGTAAACTTATAACCAAATTAATCCCACAAAAGAATGCCGACAAACAATGGTTAATTACAAAGCGTTGGTTTGCAGAGATCTAATTGGTCAGATTTCATCATGAGCTGAAATCAGTTAGAGAACCATCGGAAGACCTGAGAGTACTGGACAGCTAACTGTTTTTGCACTAGTTGGGGACTCTTGAGATGTACGCAGCCGCCAGGGTTCCTACCTTGGGACCTACGGTTACAAGATGAGCTCTCAGAGAATTCAACCATTGGGACCCAAGCTCTCCTGTGCTGCAACCCCAATGGGTGCGTGCCACTGAAGAGAGTGCCAAACTAGGACGAGACAGTTATTCACTAGTAGTACCCCATGGTTTTCCAATGGTTATTTAGCTGATGTCAGTTCATGGTCAAACCTGGAACAGCGATGGTGCAACCTTAATAATTATTAGTAAATAACATTATTTCAGTAAAGTAAACAAATAACAGTCTGGATGGGGCTGTTATTATATATTACTTCCCTAAAGTTCACAGACTAAATATCTCTATTTGTTGATTTCCGCCTACAGTATAAAGTACTTAGTGTTATTTTGGCTAATAGAATTATTATTGCACTTTTCTTCTGCTAAGATAATTTGTTTGCATAACAAATCAAATAGATTCATATGAAATCCAATAGCTATCAGAACACCATTTTATTGGTTAGAAAGAACAACGATAAGTAATTTAATTAGTTGTGCATACTCTAACACCCTTCATTATATTGATCTTATTTATTTTACTTGACAATTGATAATAATAGCAGTGTATGTATTGCCTGAGGAAATTATTGTTACGTAATGGTTAGTGCTATTTGTTTATTTTTGTTTTTGTTGGTATTGGTGTTGCTAATGTTTGCTTTGAAATTATGTCTCCCTCAATCCTCCTCCCTGCCAGAAAATATGTGTTGACCATTGTTTCTGCGGTTAGTGGGGAGGGGTAGTCAATGTCCTATAGAATTTGTTTCCATGATTTGGAAATCTTGAGGAATTCCATTTCTCTCACTTAACTGGACTAGAATAACAACATGTGATGTCTTTTTTAGACGAATAGATCCATTTGGAGTATTAATTTAGTCGAGATAAGATAGATAAATAGATTTTTAGCAAAGTTTATTTCATACTACAGTATATCTAGTAAAAACGCTTTAATGTCTGGTTAATATACTGCCTACTATTTCCTTGGGTTCCTAGTGGAACATACAGCGTCAGAAGCACATCTCCACTTCATCCTGTTCTCTGAATTCCTCTTTCGATGGAACCACCACAGCTGGAAAGCTTTTACCTCCTTCTTACACGCGATTTGTTTAGTGTCGCGCCAAACTCAATGCGTTTCTCATTCGAGTCCCCGTCGAGAGTCTGACACATGATGTCACTCAACGGTCTTCTCAGTGTCCCCGATCCAACTCCATTTTCTTCTACATTTTTGTTGTACAGTAGGTTCTTGGAGTTCCTTGTTGCTTATTCTTCCTGTTGGTCATCTGGTCTTCGCTATCGAGGCGGCGAAGATAGCTGTAGGTGAAAGTCTTTGGTAGCTTCTTGGAAATGCTTTTCATGATGTGCCAAGTCTCTGAGATCATTCACTGTTTGGTTAGATATGTTATGAATGTTAATTCAAAGAGGAAATTTCAGGCAAGTAGTAGTTTTAAAAAAGGACAGCTTCAAGAAATGACTCTTTTAAATAGTCATAGTATCGTAAGTTGAATCGATCTTCATAAGGAGTGGTATTGATCCGAGTGTAGCATACGGCTTCAAGTTTGGGCTTCGAAGTTTAGGTAGCGGGGGATATTTGTTAAATGTGGTGAGATAGCTCATTCCATGTCCAATCTTTCCTCGTGAATGAGTTCACTACAAGCTAAGCGAGGTTTAGAAGTGCGTCAGCTGCGAATCGAACATCGGATCACTGACGTTAATTTTATCAACAGAATTATATTTAATATTATCTTTTTTGGAATTTTTTAGCCTGTTGATGATTTTGATCTTGATCATTGGGGTAACTTTGAACCAATTCATTCAATGGATGATCCATCTACAATGATGGAACAAATGGAACGTCGAATGGAATCATTAAGACAAAAAATGGGAACAATGTCTAATTTTGGTACGCCACATTTTTCTGGTCCTAACAGTTCTACTATGCAAACATCAAGTTCTCGAGTTGTCTCATCCACTTCACATAGCACTGGTAGTGATCCAAAAAATATGGTTACAAAGAGTAATGTTGTTGAATCGACACAACATAAACGTATTGTCGATGGTGAAACAATAACTAGTTCAAGTCATTCTTCATCTTCATCGAATACAGCAGGAGCTCCAACAGGAATTAAAAATATTAATAATAATAATAGTGATGCATATGCCAGAAACATTACTTCACAAACAAGTGTACCTTCTGGTATGATGGATTTTTTAAAGGATGCCTATGAATTAGGAGATGATGGAAAAGTAAGCATTATTTTAACCATAATTTAAAATATATTTTTTACGTTCTTTCCCTAGTGAGTAATATTTAGATTAGGTGTAGAGTGTTAGGTAAGGAGGGTAATTCAGCTGATGTAGTTTTGAAGCTACATTGATTGAATTAAGTGTTATGCATGACAGGATCACCACCGGCTTCCTCGATGGTCAGTGTTAGCTGACATCAGATTAGATTAGAGAAAAGCTATGGGTGGCTGAACCAAAATCTGGCAACAGACCATGACTGACTGACTGACTGCTTTCAGCATAGAAATTTGCACCGATATTCAGCAATTCAAGCCGCCACACTCTATCCATATAGCGAACAAAGCAAGAGAGGAAAGTAAGAAGGAATGCAAAATAGAGACAGTAAACAGAGATATGAGACAAAAGGAATTTTAATGTCGAAGAACAATAGAGTTTTATTGGGTATTATGAATCACAAGGAGTGGATGCATCTGCGCTAGCCACTTAGAAAGATTTTGAGCCATATCACCAATTTTTTGTCTCCAATCTTCATTGGTTTTCACCATCCCAAAGACTCCAACCAGTCAAGAAGTCTACATCTCCTTACGTGGCTGGCTGGTTGGCTTAAACTAACTGTTGTGGATTTCATTGACTGATGAAGCCATATTTCGGTCTGACCACCATTGGCTCTTTATCAGTCCATGAAATCTTTGACAATTGATTTGGGCCTCCCACTCAGGGAAGGGTAGATTTCCCTGTTGAAGTCCTTGAGATGCTAAGAACCATCAGCCTCAGGCTATTGATGATTTTTTAAATATTTTTATTCTTTACGTTCCCAGTGGAACATAGGGCTTCAAGCTGGAGACTTGGAGTTTCTGTAGCATTCGTATTTATTTTTTACGGGATGGGGTTGCTAGTCTCATGCCCAACCTTTCCTCTTTACCAGTCTTATCACTGGCCTAGTAAGGTAAAGGAGTGTTTCTGTGGGCGGGGATCTAACCCCAAACCACATGAGGCGTGGTTGGCCAGCTTTCTACCACTGTGCCATTGACTCTCGAAATTCTTCTCAATGGCTCAGATGCATTCGGTCTTTGTGAGATTCCCCAGATTCCATCAAGTCCTCATGTTTCTCAATATTACTATTCTTTTTCCTATACATTTCTGCTTATCATAGTTCTCTTGTATATCATTTTTCTCTGCCTTTTGTGATACATAAAGTGTGGCCAATTAAAGTGCCGGACTTTGTGCAAAGTTCTATGACGAAATTTAGTCGGTCAGTTAGTTAGTTTTAAATACTTACTCAATAACTTAGTTAGGTATTGCTATAGGATTGTAATCAATAAATAAACATGAGAGATCACAATTTTCTAAGATAATATGATGTTGACCTTAAATAATGCTCATTATTTGTCTTAATTATGATGACCATTTCATCACTTCATGGAGTGTAATCGGATTAACTCTGCAGTTTTAAATATTCAATTGACAACATGGGTGAGAGAGAAAGACAGCCAAGCTTGGTAGTCGGAAATGCGGCTTCTGGTAGTCTTACCGTAATGCGAGAATATAGAGATTTGAAAGCGAAGCTCTATTAAGTAAAAACACATTATATTTATACATCCCCATCCACATTAGAGTTTGGTTAGGTCAGAGGAGAATAAATTGTTCTGATTGGCTGGCAGTTGGTTCAAGGCTAAACAAGTTGTCCAATGAGGTTATTTTATGTCCCCAACATAAACTAAATCCATAAATAGACTCTTCTAACTCTTCAGTCACTGGTTTAAAATACTGATTTTAATTTTAGCAGCTTTCTATCAATCTGCTTCACTCCATACTACTTCTATTCGGCATTAACCACTCTTTACAGAATACTGTCACTTCAACAAAGTTTATATATCAACAATTCAGTATTTTATTTCGATAGTGGTTTGAAGTCAGACATCTGCGAAAGTTAAAAATTTAGAGCGACGTCGTCTAGTTAGCCATCTTACTGCAGGTCATAGTTTCATCTCAATTTCAGTAACCACTAATTGTACTGATAGCAGTCCATCTTTTTGCTTTCCAAGTGAAATATTATTAAGCTTCAGTAACCATGGTGCTTTTGACCTTAAAGAGATGGGTGGTTAGCCTCACAGCCTACCATCCTTCTTACTTACCAGCTAAATAAGCTTTAAAGGTGCTTCGATCGGAAATCGAAACTAAACAATGTGAGAGTGGGTGGAGAGCATTCTCCCATTCAACCACCGATGTATCCAGATAGTTTATCAAGTAAAGTTATGCATCTCCAAGAAGGAACACTTACTTGAAGAGAGAGAAAGAGAGATACGATAAGGAATACACTACAAATATTAGAGAAGACCTTACTAAGATGGGTATTTTATTGTATCATTTCACATTGTGTTTTCAAATATTATTCCGGTTGGTGAGAATGTTGATATCAAACAGTCAAACTAACGCGAGAAACTGTTATGTATATCAGTGCACTAACTACTTTACTACTCTATACCACAACATAGATAAGCATGATTGTGCACAAAGGGGAGTTCATCCAAAAATCTATAATCATACTTTCGACTTCGATTACAGTCCATGGATGGGCACGCTAGCTAAACAATTCATTAAAAACTGGTCTCATTTCAGTTGACTTTTGAATAGTCTCAGCTATTGTTGTTGTGAGACATACTTTGATCTACGAAACGTACAAACACGTCATTAACTGTTTGATTCTTAGATGAAATCAATATTTTACAAATATTCACACTATTTATAAGTAAATTTACACTTGTTGAAAATAAAATTTTCCTTCTAGTCAGTCGATAAATTTGTTAATTAAAAAAACAGATTTCACTAGAAATCTGTATCGGTTGAAGAAGCATGAAAACATACCACAAGGAGTATTGGATGGATATAGCTGTTTCATTTTAGTTATGAACTCTTAAATAGTGTGCACATATGGCTTAACAAAGACAAAACAATATTAGACATTTCTATCACTGATCCAGCAGGTTATCACTCGGTTTGAATTCAGTGACTCAATGATTCCAATAATAAGACTATATTCTACTAGTTATAGCAGTAATTTTTTTCCTTTCCCTTTTGTTCCGAGTGGAATGTAGGGCTTTTAAGCTTGAGTCTTGAAATTTCAGTGGCTGTGACGCTTTTCTATTTTAAAGATGGGGTTGCTAGCCTCAAAACTAACCTTACTTCTTTATGAGACCTACTACAGGTTAAGTGAGTTTATTAGTAAGTGGATGGGGCAATTTTAACTGACTTTGGGATCAGGTTGGAAAAGAGTTGGCTAGTGGTGGTCAAACTAAAACATGGCTTTATTAGTCAATGAAATCCACAACAGTTAATTTAAGCCACGTAGAGAGGTGTAGGCTTCCCCGTTGAGGTCCTCGGGATGGTAAACACTAGCAACTTGTAGACAATTGCCTAAAATATCTCTGTTTATTATCTCTCTTTTTTGAAGCTCTCTTTACTCGCTTCTCCAGCTTTGTGTGCTACATGAAGGGAATGTGACAACTCGAACTGCTGTACTTCTGTGCAAAGTTCCACGTTGAAAGCAGTCAGTCTTCATTTGTTCTAGTTCAGAATAGTCCCTGGAACTGTGTTTTATAGAAGAACACGAGAAACTACAATTATTGCATCAAAATAATGTAGAAATTTATAACAGATTTAAAAGTAAATAAACTCATAAGGCATATATCTAAGAAAAACAGATCGATAAGAAGGATGTTCTGCCTTTCATATATATTTTGAATAATTTTGATCAATATTCATTTGGCGCCAATGCTGAAAATAAAAGCCAGTGTGATAAAAACACATGCGCATCCACTTCCTTCACTGATTACGTGACTTTAAAAGTACACTGACCATATGTAAACAGGATAAACTGATTGGAATCAAACGCTTTCTTATGTTTATTCACTTTACTTAAGTTTATGCCTAATATTAAGAGAGAAGGCCGTAAATGGTCTCATGTGCATCTGTGTTTTAGTGGTAGTTGTGGTTATCAGCTATGCAGGACGTATGATTTTGATTCCTGGCTGATGCATTCCATAAACCTCCTCTAATACTTTATTAACTGATAAAGTGAGCTGCGAAAAAGAGGAAGATTCAGTTTTGAGGCTAGAAGTCCCATCCGTAATAGAAACAACACCCCAGCTGCTGGAAATTCAAAAGGAGTTTGAAGACCTATATTCTACTGAGAACATACAAGGAATATGTTAGAATGGACAAGCTTATTTGTTAGCCATGAAGTCATTATTTATGCATGTACTGACATGATAACCTGATTGGACAATTTTTCGATTCGTTTATTTGTGGCTTAATTTCTTGAGGGATTCGCGGTGTCATACAACCAATCAGATTTGCTTTATTTATCTATTTATTTATAGCTTACATTTCTGAGGTTTTGTAATTATGATCTACCATATATTTTTTGTTGTCGTTTCCAGCCGAAGTTATTCCCAATCTGACTGTTGTATCTATCTCAGTGTTGGAGATAACTTGTAGTGATCAGTTGGTTATAATGTTGTGTTCTGGTGGCGCATTCTAGTCGAGTTCTGTCTGTTTGTCTGGTTTCAACATAGAACTTTGCACCGGTGTGCAGCAGTTCGAGTCACCACACTCCATGAAGCACACAAAGCAAGAGAAGAAAGTAAGAAGAAATGCAAAATAGAGACGGTAAACAGAGATATGTGGCATAAAGAACAGTGATATCGAAGAACAATATAGTTTTATTGGGTATTATGAATCACAAGGAGTGGATGCATCTTCTCTATCCATTGCGAACGATTTTGAGCCATATCACCGATTGTCTCTAGCCATTGGTGTTTAACGCCATGAGGATTTCGTTGACGGTTGAAGCCATGTTTCGATTCGACTACCACTAGCCAACTCTTTTCCAACCTGATCCATCTAATGTCAGTCAGCTAACATTGTCCATCGAGGAAGGTAATGATTAGGTGTGCACAACACATGTCCTAACCATCTCAATTGATGTAACTTCACAACCT